AAGCTTGTCGCAGCTCGTTTAGTTGGTCTTTTCGAATTATTGGATGATGGTCTCACAGCACTCAACGGTATTTTTCTATGGTTTCACTAAAAGTGTATATCAGTATCGGACGTTAAGATAATCAATTACGTCTGCATTATCGTTTTGCTACTGATCTACCAGAAATGCAGACAGTCATTGTAACCGATGCCGGCAGATACTGTCTATGGAGGTATATATCATGATGATTTTTTTCTCAGACTTATGTTGGTGTTTCAGGGATGTACCGAACAGCGAACATAGCTGGATCATTTACGTGGCCGATGACGACAGATTCCCTAAAATTGAGGTACTGTGTTGGCCATCCAAGTAACAGCACCAGAATGTTGTTTATAGTTGGTAGGCAATCGCATGGAGCACGCGCTGATTCATCTTGGCGATAAAGTGAAGACGGATGTCAAGGAATTTTTACCGAAGTCCATGAATGTGACAAAACTAAGAGAGGAAATGAAGTCTGTATGTGCGCTTCGCAACAAGAAAAAGGTTCGATCATCCATGCATAGGGATTTTTTTCATAATATTATTGTGACTTATTCATTTTATTCATTGCATTCGTGGTCTACTCGTACCGTAAAATAAGTAGTGTTTGTTGCAAGAATCATAGATCTGTAACGAGCGCACCAACACAGGATGCTTTATAATACGCTAGCTATCCATATTTAGCTAGGCAAGGCACCAAATGCAGTCGGATTGTGGGTTGAGATCACCAACGATGTCGGTTACCGACCCATACCGGAAACTCCAGGTGAGATGATCTTTGATTTGCCCAGCATTCAAAGTAAAATAGTTCGAATCAAGAGAAGCTGAGAGAAACACTTGATCTTATCTGTGAGACTGATAATCCTTCACTGCGACAAAGGAGAATGCAGCGGGTCATGGAAATTGTCACCTTTGTCCAGGTTCGTTTTGATTTCACAGTTTCTCATAGGAACACATTTGTTTTATTTTTTTCTTTGTAGCTTCTTGCAGTTGCTTGTGGCAATCATTGTTATTTAAACAGTAACGTTACGATTTTTGAACAAAAGTTGTTCAAGCATAATTTCATCCTGATTCTAATCTATCTAGCTTGGAAATGATGAATGCGACTTTGGAATGGGTTTGGAGCTCGGTTACTGGTTGTT